ATGGTTTAAAGACGAAATAATTTCTTTTTTTAATTTCTGAAGTATTATTAGGAAAACCACACTATTGAAATGTGATGAACGTACGGTATTCTGGATAAGTGTCCATACTGCACTACAAAACCTAAATCACTCTGGATTTATACAAGAGAGGCGAAAGATACCAAATGGATATACAAACTCAAAAAATCAAAAATAAATTAATAATGATATGGCAAAAAACGAAAAACAACCAAAAGACAAACAACAGTATTCAAAACACAACATTGAAAATTAAAACCTGAGCAACACGAACCCTACCAAAAAAACCAGAGGTGATCTCTGTTGCTTCGGAAGGGTAAGTAGATCCTACTTTAAAAAATCTAGTTCACCAAACTTTTTAAAAAGTATTTTCAGAATTCCACTGATAAGGTTCCTGACTTGGATCATGTACATTTACATGTGGGAAGATTATACTAATTTATATGGACTTTTTAATAGAACAGGAAAGGTGCATTTAAGAAAATTGGATTAAAACCAACTGAGAAAAAGCACTTTGTTAAAATATTTGTTTGTTTTATAGTGATTAAGATTATAACACAATGTTGACTGCTGTACCCCTATTTTAGACTTTTTTTACCTGCTATGTCTGTTTGTTTTGTTCACACGTACATTGTTGTCAATATAATGGAATTCTATGCGACTGTCATACAAGTGAGAGGTTAAGCTAGCTATTAAACCAGGTTAAATCCACCATTTTCTACATAAGGAAATGCCTGTGCCAAGTCAGGAATATGACATTTGTTTTCAATTCGTTTGATGTGTTTGAGCTTTTGATTTTGCCATTTGATTAGGGACTTTCCGTTTTGAATTTTCCTTGGAGTTCGGTATTTTTGTTATTTTACTTTTTAACATTATCATATCGAAAGCTAAGACAACAAAAACACTGTTTCCAGTAAAACAATCTAATACCAAGCAAAATCTAAAGAATATTCGGGATATCAAAGAATATCAGTTAAACTCGAAAGTCTTAATCTTCTTATATAGAAATAACGCCATCTTACACTATGATATTGCTCGTTGTACTTTCGGGTAGAATTTACATAGTAATGTCATGAAAAGAACAGAAAGACTTTCACTATTTTGTATAATGCTCGAATTAAAGGAGAAGGTATGATAAGGCCACTTTTTGTCCCTTTGGATTCGAAAATCATTAAGTAATATTAAATCTACCAAATGCAAATAACATCCATCAGATTTTGATAAAACAACAGTATCATATATTTTTGAATTTTGTATTACATTTTGACATTTGGGCCTCAAACTTCTTACATTCATTGCAAAACAGAAAAAAACTGTAAATAAAATGTATTTTGCAAGGATGCTAATGTGTGTAAAATAAAGCTGTTTCATATATATATATAATTTGAGCCAAAAATATGCGTGAAATGGCCATTTAAGATCAAATCTATAAATTTCGTACATATCTAAGACGTCAAAGAGACATCACAAGGGATCTTTCTGATTTAAAATTTTCAAATTATAATAAACTGTTGATGTATCAATATAATAACATAATTTGAAAGACTTGAAAAAAAACATTATTATTTCCACAATTTGAGGGGCTAAGCGATGTTTCTTACCATATTTCCTTCTTTGAAATTTAATTTGAAGTATCATTTTTTGTTGTTACGGTGACCTAAAGTTGCTTTAATCGATGTAGGCGATTTGGACTTCATTCAAGAACAAAACGACAAACAACAACTAAGCGACATATCACAAATACAAGCAAACCGATCCAACTAAGAAATGTAAAATCACTGATAAAGCCAATGGAATGTTGCCACTAAGAAAATGAAAATAATTATTTATAATAAATGTATTATAAATATAAGGAAAGCATCTAAAAGAATTGTGCCCAAATCTTTCCTATGAATCATTTCAATGATCTAATTTTTTCCCTAACAAAAGGGACGAATACACCAATGAGGGAGTCAAAAACCATTTGCCAAAAAAACACAGACAATACCGTATTCAAATAAAAAAGAAAAACTAACATACTAACAACAGTTAAAAAAACCCCACTAAAAACCGTAGACTAAGCAACTTAAATCCCCAAAATGGAGGTTTGATTTTGAACCTAATCTTTCTGAACAAAGGACAGACAAGACTGCTACCGATAAGAACAAAACAGAAATTGACAAACGAAATACCATAAACACATCACAGAAAACGAAAGCAAAGGCAAAACACACTTTGAAAAATAAGGAGTTGAACTCAGATGTTCAATTTGAAGGATAACAGGTGTTGATTATTGCATAGTGCCAACTGTCTGCCATCACAGTTATACCTAAATATATGTGTATACTATCGTTTATTTTTTTGTTCATAAATCAGGCCGTTAGTTTTCTTGTTTCGATTGTTTAACTTTGGTCACGTCGGACGTATAGCATGCTATGTGGTATGTTCTTTTTTTCATTTTTGAAAGCGTGTTGTCTCTGGTGGAAATGTATATTCAATCTACATGACACAAAAAAAAAAACCGAGCAAGACATCTCATGATGTGAAAGGGCTCTTGGGTGAGAAAGAGATTGAGAGGTTGTTTCATAATATTTAAATATAAAGTTTTTTTTCTCTTAATCACACAATATATGTGCGGCAAGTAAGTTGATAAGGGACTTTCCGTTTTAAATTTTCCTTGGTTTTTTTCCTCTTAATCACACAATATATGTGCGGCAAATAAGTTGATAAGGGACTTCCCGTTTTAAATTTTCCTTGTAGTTCGGTATTTTTGTTATTTTGCTTTTTACACGTGAATTTGCTATAAAACTAAGGAGTCAATCATCAATTACTTTATATTCGTTTCTCATATCTTTCCATTTTGAAATTGATGCACTGCTAAGAGTTTAAGTATAATAATAACATTTGACTTATAACATGGTTGACAGATAACAAAAAACATCTAAAGGAATTGATGGTGGACTCTACCGTACTATGTTTTACACAGCATTCGTCTAATATAGACATTCGCACCACATTAATTGCAATTAAAATGTTTTTGTATAGCAACATAATATTTCATACAGAATGTAACCAAAGTAAGAGTCCAATGATATATCATGATATATATGTTTTACATCAGTTTTCGTCTATTATAGACGTTCGCACCACATTTATTGCATTTAAAATGAGTTTTGTGTAGCAATTACATATTTTATACAGAACGTAACCATTCAATATAAAAAAATCAATTCGGGACAATATTCACCAATATCACGCAATAACCCTTTTGTTTCAATTTACTTACTATTATCTGTAAAAACGTATTAACATTTTAAAAGAAGTATGCATTAATGTTGGCAAAGGATTCTGTTATATCCTTTCCATATTGTCAGTTCGGGAATTTTATTTCTATAACTTTTCCATTTTAACATTAAATTTTGCGTTTTCTAAAATTAATTAGAGTTGAAACGGAATTAACGATTAACAGATTGTTCGTCATATAGTAATGATATTGTATTTCGCTGTAAATTGTTAAAGAATAATTTTCATTAGTATTGGTTTAGTATTACTGATGTATCTAATCAATTTTAGCTTTTGATTTATAAAGTAAATACAAAAAAATCCTGGAATGGATTGCAGATGTTTACTCTTTGTAAAAGCATGAATGACTTATTGTAATAATTCCATGGTAAAGGTAATTATGTCCCATAAGTCGATGAAAAACTGACAACGCCATTGCAAAAAATGAAAAACGAACAAAAAAGACAATCAACAGTATACAAAACACAACATAAAATACTAGAGACTGTGCAAGACGAACTTATAATAACACAAAATTGGAAGGGTTAACAGACCCTACTCCATGTATGACACCGTCGCGTCTCTTTGATAATATACGTTAATTTATATCAAGTAATCAGGTATCACACAAATAAAATGTGAATCATTTTAGATTACACAAGAAGTAAATATACACAATGCCTGGTTTTTTGGAGCAGTTGACAGACATTACCTAATATGGACAGAGTATGTTTCGATTCTGTTTGAATATTTTCTTTTAGTATTGATATTTTGTTATTAGTTCTTTTCAAGAACAGAAAACTGCTCTCTATGTCTATAATAGATGATTAAAAGCTCCTCCACAAATTCATATTTAACAAGTCATTTTGATATTTCGTTCCTTTTCGAAATTCACCCTTTTTGTTTTACAATTATTCATATATTCAATAAACATGAAAAACTGTCATGTCGAATGAGAAAAAAAAATCAACTATTTGTTTTGATAACATTGGTCTTTGTTTTGTTTTTGAACTAAAACAGGTTTTTTTTCTTAATTTCTTGTATAAACTTGATACTGATACGAATTCTTTGATGGTATTTATGGTTAAATGTTTCGTAACAGTTTGAAATTTACATTTCTCCCACTAATCATTAGTCTCTTGCCTACAAATTCACCAAACGCATAATTCTTGTTTTCTCAAACACAACTTATTCAAATATTTATTAGTATTTGTTTTCAGAACCGATTCTATTTTATTACTTTCAATGATTTACTCGGATATATATCCGTAATCGCATTTCAGAATAATAGAGTTGCAAGTTGCTATCGCTTTAGGCTCCTAAGAATTAATTAAAAAAAATTCAGATCCTAATTAATTTGATTTGGTGTTTTATAATGATAATTTTGACATTCATTTTATTCTATGAGTAAAAGTTTCCACAAATTCTTTTTTGCCGGTTTGTACTTTTTTCTACTCTCATCAAATATACACGACGTTTGTCAAAGTGAGTGTGAACTGACCTGTGTTTAATTAAACGAAGGAAACCGAGTTATGGCGGAATGTTATTAATAAAATCAACGAAATAAGATACTTTATGCATGCCATAACTATGATTATTTAACAAAAAGTATGAGATAGACAAATTACGACAATTTTAGTAAATGTAAATAACATTTAAAAAATTCATTAGTATTTGTTAAAAATAAAATGTTATGTATGATAATTTAAAGTGTTTCTTACCATTTAATCTGCAAATAGATATAAAGATGAAGAAGACTTTCATCAGATGGTACATTTTTGCTCTGTCAAAGGCAAGAAAAAATATCTGAAGTCTATTAGTTAATGTGCACACTTCAATAAGTTTGTCAATGAATAGTTAATAAACTAACCATCGCATTTGACTATAATAATTGAAAGATCGCTCGACTGTAGATTAATCGTTGAGTGTATGATTAAACACGTTAATACTTTAAATGACTTATAGTTAGCAACCTAAAGCAAAGTATATACTTTCTGTATTGCTTTATTGATATGTTATCAATGATGAGTTTATTTCCCTTCTTTTGATAATGTTTGTATCATGTAATGTCAATAAAAAGAAGCAGAAGTTGTTACAGTTTTCAGGTTTAATCTTTCAGGGTCAAACCTTTGATCATAACTGATGTATGACTGATTGTTGTGTGGAAAAATAAATGGCAAATGGCAAATCTTTAACGTATCTATCGGATGAGAACAAATTAGGCGAGAATTATAGACAGCTACTTGAAAAGGGCAGAAATGTTTCCTAGCACCAGGCTGCCATGGACCCCTCAAAAAGTAATTACAAGGGTTATTTAACATGCATAGAGTGGAAATGTTTGAAATGAAAATACAAATTGATTTGCTCCTACGACCACAGTTTCTTTGATCACGAAACAGAATTAACGATATTTGATAATTTGAAATCTAATCAATTATGCAACATCAATCTTATTATTTTTATTTCTTGCATGTTTTTGTAGCAAAAACAAATCAATTTTATTTTTCTCTTCAAATATTGCATCCGCATTTAATTTGAAATATTCAAAATCTACCTTTATTTCTTTTGTTCTTTACATTGTTTTATTATAAAATATCAACAGAACTATCTCAATTGTTCATCTGTAATAAAAACTAGATTGAGCCTCTGAACGTGAAGATGTATGTAATAAATGTTGAAGTTATTATTTTCTCCAGAATATTGATTTTTTTTTACCAGGACCTAAAACATTATTGATTAGTTTTGATCTTCTTTGGTCATAAAGCTCTTCAACTGTTTTTGTTCTTATAATTCTTGTATTTAACATTTTCGGCTTGGAGCATTCCTGGTGAAGTTGAATCCAAAAAAGCGCTTCGGACGCATGGAATTTGTAAAATGTTGATTTCATTTATTTTTTTCTTTTCATTTTTCTTGCATTTCTTTTTACAATACCAAACTATACCCAGAGACTTTGAACTTTACTATCGCTACAGCTGATTCTTACAATTTTGTCTTTACAAGATTTCGGCTTTACTATCCGTATTCTCTTTTCGTATTTCCATTCAATCTACGAGAAAATGAGCGAATCCAAAGATCATTATTTCGTTAAGGAATAATTACACTAAATTATATCGAGCTACAAAATAAAGTATTTACACTTTGTCAGTTGCGAAGTGTCATGCTTTGTAATGTATTCTTTGCCATGAAATTCGATATTGATCGCTTCAATATCATTTTTTTGGTACCAAATCAGGAATATGACAGTTGTTTTCCATTCGTTTGATGTGTTTGAGCTTTTGATTTTGCCATTTGATAAGGACTTTCTGATTTGAATTTTCCTTGGAGTTCGGTATTTTTGTTATTTTACTTTTTATTACCGTGACGCCATGATTTTATGGATATAGCAAAAATCACAAACGATAAATGTCAATAGTTATCAAAGGTACCAGGATTATAATTTAATACGCCAGACGCGCGTTTCGTCTACATAAGACTCATCAGTGACGCTCAGATCAAAATAGTTATAAAGCCAAACAAGTTCAAAGTTGAAGAGCCTTGAGGACCCAAAAACCAAAAAGTTGTGCCAAATACGGCTAAGGTAATCTATTCCTGGGATAAGAAAATCCTTAGTTTTCCAAAAAATTCAAAGTTTTGTAACAGGAAATTTATAAAAATGACCATATAATTGATATTCATGTCAACACCGAAGTGCTGACTACTGGGCTGGTGATACCCTCGGGGACGAAACGTCCACCAGCAGCGGCATCGAACCAGTGGTGTAAATAATTATCAAAGGTACAAGGATTATAATTTAATACGCCAGACGCGCGTTTCGTCTACATAAGACTCATCAGTGACGCTCAACCTTGGCATATACAGTTTGAGATTTTAAAGTTGTCAAGATCTAACACAAATTTTCACTTTTCTTATAAAAGAAACATTCAAAACTGAAAAAGTTCCATTCTAAAGAGTCAGGGCCCATATGTATAATAGATCTCCAAGTTTTTCAAAAGTTTTTTTAAAGTCAATATGCAAAATTTACAAATAATACAATAACACAGGAAGCAGAATAGTACACATAAATAAGAAGATGTGGTATGAGTGCCAATGAGACAACTATCCATCCAAGTCACAATGTGTAAAAAGTAAACAATTATAGGTAAAAGTTCGGCCTTCTTCACGGAGCCTTGGCTCACACCGAACAGCAAGCTATAAAGGACCCCAAAATGACTAGTGTAAAACAATTCAAACAGGAAACCAACGATCTTATCTATATAAAAAACGAGAAACACTTATGAACCACATCAACAAACGACAACCACTGAACAACAGGCTCCTGACTTAGGAAAGGTGCATAAAAATGCAGCGGGTTTAAACGTTTTAACAGGCGCCAACCTTCACCTTAACCTGAAACAGTGGTGTATCAGTACAACATAAAAAGACATATATCAAAATATCAATTAAAATGGCTTAACTCGATCAAAAAGACATACACAAAAACAAGTAAATATACACTGAACGAATAAGTTTGATATATGACACAATATAAATAAAAGATATGTATCAATGTCAAAAAGACAACTTTAACCTAGGACAAAATAGCGTTAAATAAAGTAATGTACACAGGTAAATTTAAATATAATAATTTTGTTGTTAGGAGTACAGAAACATTTTTTACAAAATAAATTTGTTTTTCATAGTACGAGTACAGAGGTGAGAATTTCTCGTCATACTAAATAATTATCAAAGGTGGTACAAAAACAAAAATAGTAAGACGAGATATAATACAAAATTAGTAAACATTGAATAAGAAATGTATTACAATTTGTGTCAACAGGTAAAATTAACACGAATGTACGATTTGCGAGTACTCGCAGTTACTGAAAGATAGTTAAAAGCCAAAAACAATTAAAAATAAACAATCATGCATCAGAGACTAAAATCAATTAAAACACATCCCAGGCAGTGATGTATATATATGCTATCTCAAAATAAAAGCATAAAAATCACTTTTAACTAAATGCAGTACGAAGATCAGCATATTAATCAACGTGGCTTTAGAAAATAAAATCTTAACATGAGAAATAAAAGAATCTGCATGCACAGGATTTGCACGGTTGTTTCTGTGAAAATTATATAAAAAGAAAAAGCATGTTTTAAAGGCAAACTTTGTCCTACTGTAACTTTAGAGAATAAAACAAGGTACCAGGAGCAAATAAGAAAATAGTATATAAAGAAAAGGCCGTGATAAGAGATATTGAACAGACCCTTAAGAAGCTGGTAAACTCTCTGTGTTTTAAAAGTTATTGTGTATTTATTCTTGAGATAATTCCGCTCATGCCGGTGCTAAGGGTCGCCTTAAACTTGCAGTGAGGTGAGAGTTTTTTTGCTCCGTATTGAAGGCCTCACTGTGACTTTGAGATGAAGAACAGCAATAAAAGCGCTTTTCCTTTGCTTTTTGTATGTTTTTAGCTGTACATGTGCTGATTTTGTGTCATGGATAGATACCCAATATCTTTTGGTTTTCTATTATTGTTTTAATATTGATTTGACTGTTCTAGACCATTGTTTTAGAAAACATTGATTAACAAAAATAAAAAATCGAAATTATCTACAAACAAAAAAATTAAAACAATCAAAACTTCCATCCTTGAAGATCAGTATAAACAATATTTTTATTCAGAAAACAATTTGATGAAAAGGTAAGATATGCATTTAGACCATATAATAGCCTGTATAAGTCTTAAGATACATTCGGCAACCACGATCCTTTATTATTGGCTCAAATAACATATGGCATGTTGTGCAAATGAATTGTTTTGGTGCAACTAAATGGCAATTGGCACAAATGGAAACGACCGAAAATAATATTATCACCGTGTTTTTATGTGAAAACTTAAACTTAGTTTGAAGATCGAGCAATTCAAAAAACAATTGTTCTAGTTTCCTTGTTTTACCTTCATATCCCATCATGAATTACTCCGTTAACTCGCACAAAAAAATAACCAAATTCAGGCAAGGTCAACTGTGCATGTGTGAGTAGGAATCTTTGATTCTTAGTTATTTCTTTTTTTATCAACGGAGAATTTTAGAAAGTAGTACAACATCACTTGGCTGATTATACCACCCAGGGAGCTAACAGTCCACCGGCAGTTGTATCGACCTAGTGCTAGTAAAGAAAAACAACTTTATAAAGTTCGTGCATCTGAAGCGCATTTTTGATACACTTACTCCAAGAACACCCAAACGCACATATTTGGAAGCTAATTATGTATAAATACAGATGCACTTTATGGCCATCAGCAAATGCTTTTTCTTATCTGACTGAGTTTAAAGGGATACTTGCGATCATTATAGTAAATTTGATTTCAAATTATACAATGATAGGACATACTCTTTAGGTAGAACGTACATTCAAATAATTAGTAGAGTCAACAGTAGTTAACCAATGTTCACATCTCATAAATCGATACGCTTTTTCATTTTTTTGTTTAAGTTCGTGAAAACAGAAAAAAATTAGATAAAAAAATCCCTTGATTTTTGTGTAAATAAATGTATGAATATTGTTGATATTCGAATATCGCATACTGTGGATTCATTATTATTCGTTAGATACCAATTTTCGTTGATTTCGTGGTTACAGGTGAACCACGAATTCAAATTTACAACGAAGTACAAATATTGTATAGGTTTAAATACAGACAACAGTAAAACCATGAAATCAAATATCCACGAAAACACAAAGTTTCTTCATTCCATGAAAATTGGTACCCACGACAATTAATGAATCCACAGTATTGAAAATAATTTAGAAATAAAAAAGGGGTAAACAATACGCCTATTTCTAGAATAAG